CTCTGAATTAGAATCTGTCCTCTAAATCTATTGTAACAGAAAATAAAAGGATCACTAGCTATCACCAAGAGCCATGCAAAAGCAGCTTTTTAAGACAAGTCCTGCATTAAATGATGTTTGTATGTGTGCATACGTATGTGTATATTCTATGCAATATATTTAGACAGATAGACAGAGATAGACGGACAGACAACAAATAGACAGACATATACCCCTTTTTAAATGTGATACACTAGTTTCTTTTTTATTTGATGGTAAAATGACGCGATGAATACCCTTTAAAATTGTTCCAGGATTTCACTATAATTCAGTAAACATGTTCACACCTCCAATTAAACTATTATTAATTGGATGAATAAACTGTTCCTTCTTGAGCTTTTAGCTCTTTAAATCCCTTTTGGGCTGATTTGTATAGGCTGTGTGAGGTTTGTTAATCATTTATTTATTTTAGCTTAATGAAGCAGTTTTAGTGCATATATCATGTCTCTACAATCTTACTTCTCAATTCTCTGTCATTTAGGGGTTAAATCACTTTGTTTATGCAGGCCTAGACACACCTCACTGCATATGACTTGCATAGCCTTCCTAACACTTCCTGTAAAGAGTCATCTAATGTTTACACTTCCTTTATTGCAAATTCTGATTAATTTAGAATTTCCAATATCTTACCCTGTTAATTGCTTGCTAGACCCTGCAGGAGCTTCCTGTATGTAATTAAATTCCAATTTACAGAGCAGGAGATAAAAACTTTTAAAGTAAGTTGACATCTGATTGAATGTGAAAGCATTTTGTTTTCATGCAGGCTGTGTGAGTCACAGCCAGGGGAGGTGTAGCTATACTGCATAAACAGAAATTAAAGTGAATTAACTCCTAAACAGCATAAAATTCAGCAACGAAACGTCAGAGACATGATCTATACATAGAACTGCTTCATTAAGCTGTTTAGGCGACTATAGTGTCCCTTTAATAAAAAACAACACTCATGTATGCATACTCCCAGACACACACATAGATCCAAACTTTGTGTCGTCCTGCTCATAGCATTGATTGACTTAGAGAAGCACCAATTCAGTGACGGATAGATGTATCTGTATCACAAAATATTTTAAAATACATTTCTACTGGTTAACATATATCAACTCGTTTCAGCATTCTACATCAGCTCTGTGAAATAACACTATATTAAAGAGAATACCTTCATTCACTCAAGGGCACCAATTAAGACCCTATGAAAAGGAACTATAGTAGGTTTGAAAGATGACAAATCTGGATGTAAAAATTTCCATACAGAACGGACAACCGCAAAGAAGCAATTTTCTTTTGAACTCAAGCATTTCATTTGAAGTCTCACAACAAGGAAAGCTTACAAAAAACATAAAGGAAAAGTTGGGAGCAATGTAGGCTAACTCCGTGTGTGTGAAAACAAAGTCTAACCTTGTGCATCTTTAAAATTATTTGGCTCCGAGCCAGCATATTGGCAAAGTGCCATTGTCAAGCTGAAAATAATGGGTGCAGGCTTTCAGGATTTATGTCAGTTCCAAACTTCTAGGAAATCTACAGGCGATATAGGGTATCAAAACCCAGGATCGGTTTCATAGCTTCAAGACAGTGGCAGACCAAAGTAGCAGCTGCTTGAGGGATTTTATCATCACAGAATTTAGAATGTAAACAAATATTTTCCTCTTGCTGTAAGGGCAAAGGAACGTTTCCTCCATCTAAAAAAAACCCCCACGTTTGAAAAAAATCGGTTCACTGTAGGTGTAATCATTGTACACTTGTTTGGTTTAATGTACTGTTTATCTGGAAACCAAGTGTAACATTTATAAAATTTAAAAGTTCCAGGTTTTCAGGGTTAAAGGGAACCTTTCATGCCCCAACCTACTGAAACTTTCTTGAAAGGGCATGCAATTTGCTAACAAATATATAGATTGGGAGAAAAACCTATTTAAAATAGGTCTTTCTCTCACATATTTGTCAAATTTTAGGCTAAAATAGATGCGTTGGAAATATGGCTAGAAATTTATTCTAATTTGGTAAATTAGGCCTATATTTTTTATTTATTTTTTTTGCAATTCTACCATTTCCACTTAAAGGACCACTCTAGGCACCCAGACCACTTCAGCTTAATGAAGTGGTCTGGGTGCCAGGTCCATCTAGGGTTAACCCATTTTTTTTTTATAAACATAGCAGTTTCAGAGAAACTGCTATGTTTATAAATAGGTTAAGCATTCCTCGAAAGCCTCTAGCGGCTGTCTCATTGACAGTCGCTAGAGGCGCTTGCGTGCTTCTAACTGTGAAAATCACAGTGAGAGCACACCATGCTTTCCTATGCGACCGGCTGAATGCGCGCGCAGCTGTTGCCGCGCGTGCGCATTCAGCCGAATGGGCGGAGAGGAGGAGAGCTCCCCTCCCAGCGCTGGAAAAAGGTAAGTTTTTACCCCTTTCCTCTCCACAGAGCCCGGCGGGAGGGGGACCCTGAGGGTGGGGGCACTCTCAGGGCACTATAGTGGTCCTTTAAGCTATTCAACCATGAAAGAACTAGAAACAAAACCACAGAGACCATATTTTATTTCAAGGGATGTTAGATGGCTAGTGTTTATTTTAACATTTGCACTAATATTTGTTTTTCTGTTGGGTGAACATGTTGTTAACAGTCACTTGTGTGTGTGTTTTTTTTTGGTTTTTTTTTTATTACACTCATCTTTTTTTTAACAAATGTGACAAAGTGTAAAAAAAGTTAATACAACCAAATCTTTATTCCTAACAATATACTGCTACTGTCTATAGTTCTATATAGGTTCCCCCTCTGCACCGTAAAAATGAAAGGATTGACTTAAATGTTTTACTTCTCCGCCTCCCGCGACATCACAGAGGAGGCACAGCATTCGCTACAACAGTTCATTTTCAAAGCTCATCAAAAAGCAAACTCCACACATGAAACCCCCCAGAGGAAGGCATTGTATTCACGTGTCGGGTGACAGATTTACTTGCCAAGTGCTGCAAAAAGCCGCTATAAGTAGCAATTTCTCAAAACTAGAAATATTGCTTGTTTTCTCCTTTTCTCTGTGCTGGCAGGAAGCTAAAATGTTAGCACCCAGTTTTGTTTCTGTGTATGAAGCCCTAATCACAACTCCACTTGCTGTGACACACAGCCTCCATGAAAAAAATAGTTTAATGTTCAATCAGATCTTACAGCATCAGGGTCGGCCTTAGGGGTGTGCCAGCTGTGCGGCTGCACAGTGCGCCATGGCACCAAGGGCGCCGGGTGGCCGACATAACTCGCACTCAGTCACTCATAGGCCGGCATGAGTCATGTGTCTGCAGTGCAAAGCAAGTCAGGAGCAAGTGCAGAGAGAGGAGGAGCATGCTCCACCTTCAGAGTCATTCATGGAAGGATCCGCACAGTGAGGTCAGTGCTTTGAAATCAAAGTCGGCGTACTGGGACACTGTCAGGAGGGTCCAGGGAGCAGCAAGCTTTAACGTGAGTTTGCTTATTCTTGTTTACTGTTGCTTTTTTTTTTGTTTGTTTTTTTAAGGGTGGCAGGTGTTTTTGTGTGTGAGGGGTTTGCAGAAGAGGGAGCAGAGGTTTTCTAGCTGGGATTTTGGGGAAGGGGTTTTGGTTTAGGGAGGAACAGAAGTTTTATAGAAGGGGTAGGGGTTTTGTAGAAGAGGGGGCATGCGTTTCTGGTGAAGTGGCATGGGAAAGGATTTTGTTAAAGGGGCGTGGGTTTTGTTGTAGAGTGAGAGGTTTAGTATAGGAGTAGTGATGTCCCAAACGGTTCGCCACAGACAGCGAACATATGCGCTGTTCGGTCTGCCCCCTATTCGTCATCATTGAGTAAACCTTGACCCTGTACCTCACAGTCAGCAGACACATTCCAGCCAATCGGCAGCAGACCCTCCCACCTCCTGGACAGCTCACTAAGAATGCAGCTTCACAATGAATGTAAAATGGATCCTGTCCAGGAGGTGGGAGGGTCTGCTGCTGATTGGCTGGAATGTGTCTGCTGACTGTGAGGTACAGGGTCAAAGTTTACTCAATGATGACATAGGGGGCAAACCGAACAGCGCATACGTTCGCCATCCGTGGCGAACCGTTCGGGACATCACTATATAGGAGTGTCAGGGGTTTAGTATAAGGGGTGCTGGGCTTTTGTAGATGGTGGCAGTGGTTTTGGTGGAGGGGAAGGTTTTTAGTTAAGGGCGGGAATGTGTTTTGTTAAAGGGGTAGTAGAAACTTTGTAGAAGGGGGGCAGGGGTTTTGTCAAGAGGGGGGCAGGGTTTTTGTATAAGGGTTATGGTAGAAGGGGTTTTGCTGACGGAGGTGTGCGCCACGAGATGGGCTCGCACAGGGCGCCTGATTACCTAAGGCCGGCCCTGTACAGCACAGTCTGTTAAATTATCTCTTGCTTAAATGTAATAGCATACATAAAACTGTTGCAGACTTTTGCAGGGAATTAACAGAGTAAAAAAAAAAAAAAAAAAAATATTTTTTTTTCCAAATTAAACAGTTATAGTTTTAAAAATTAGACCTCTTTTTCAGTTAGTGTGTAGGGAGGCTCTGTGAGTCTCAGCTAGGTCTGCATTAGCAAAAGTAATTTAAGACTTCTAAATGGCAGAGAATTGAGCAGTGAGACAGTATGGGCATGATTTATACACCAAAAGTACTTTGTTAAAGGGATATTAAAAGGCACCCAGACCACTTCATCTCAATGAACATTCATTTAACCTTCGATATGAAAACTCTTCCAAATCAATTTAACAAGTTAGCAACAGTGTGGATAAAACTGCCATTTCCAGGCACGCCAGCATCACCACTGATCAGTATAACCATTCTGATCACGGGAGGTATATGATATGTGAAGATGCGGTTCTTATAACGCCACAAACACACATTTTTGACTAAAATAACAGGTGAACATAAAACATGCCAATTTTCACTCTATGGAGTAATATTAACAAAATTAGACAATTTCAACAGAAAGGAATCACACCATGAGATTGTTCAGTTTATTGTTTATTTTCAATGGAGAAATACATCTCTTTACAAAATAGCTTTTGAAAAATACAAGGAATACAGGTACTATAAAACAAAGGAAAACTCCAGTCATGAGACGATAACGTACATCATGCATAAGCAACAGTCTGATCTTCAGGTTAGGGGGAACTAGAGTTAACACTTGAGTGCCAGAGATGTGCCCAACTTACACCCAGCACTCGAAGGGTTAAAATTAAAAATCACTAACAGGGTCAGAGAAAAAAAAAAAATCCAAGTTATCCATCTCTCCAAAAAAAAAACCAAAAAAAAAACAAAACAGTAATTACTATAAACAAATGGAACAAAGACATTGCGGTGTAAACATAAGTCTAGACAAACTTTGTGCCTGGCAATATTACGCTAAAAATCAAAGAAAACAACTGGACAATAACTTGTGTGGTTGTTTGTGTATACCTGCATACGGGAGTGTGATGCTATGAGGGGAGACTAAGGATATAGAAGCAAAGGTGATTATCTATGAACTATTTGCTCAGGCTAGGGAGAAAAAAAAACCACCCAAACATTTCCCAATAAGTCTTAATAAATAACTGTTAGACTAGGAAAGAGTTAAGAGAAAAATTAAGTGCTTTTCGCACATCATGAAAGAAATCGCTTAGCTGTAGAAATTAAGCAAATATCTCTACTTGCTTTCTGGTTATCCCAATGCAAATGGTAAAATAAATCTCTTTTGAAAGCCAATGTTTGTATGCAGCAATGCAAACAGATGGTGGCTGTAGTAATGTGATTAGGTAAAAGTAAAAGGGGCTGATGTGATAAAACAAAGTGAGCACTTTAAAATAAAAAAACTGAAAATAAAAAATCTTTATATGAATTGCAAATCCCACATGTTGCAATAAGAGTTGATGGGAAAAAAAATTATTTAACCTTACGTGTACACATTTTCCCTGTTGGGTTATAAGATCACAATTTAAAACAATTCTTTCACTACTAATCTAAAGTTCTACCTATAAAGATTGACTAGAAGTATTGTCTTTAACTTGAAATAAATATCACATGACCCATGGTTGCAAATATAGAAGAGTGTGTGACTGTTTGTTATGAGGCTTGTGACAAAGGCACATTGTATACCAGATCATTCTTAACTAATTTTGCTAATAATATCACAAAGCAATTTTGCGGAAAGAGCTTCCTAACAAAAAAACAAATATTGATATTTAAGGTTTATGTGTGAAAGCCCAAAATGAAATTGAGGAGAGCAGCTAATGGTGATTTAAACAACACTGCCACTAATCTTTAGAACCCATCGACACCTTGAAAATTAACCATTACTGAACACATGCTCATAGTGGGAAGAGGAGTGGAGAAAGAAAAAATAAAATAAAGAACAAAATTAACGTTTTATGATTTTGTATTGATCAAGCTGTTCAGACGAAATTTCTCAGATTCTACTTCCATTTTGCCACCATATATCAAAACTCAACATCTAGTTTTGTGATCCAATATGCTATGCCAACATCTCCAGGGGCTGCATGAAGCTACAATAAACTAAAATAAAAAAAGTCTAAAATCTTTTTTTACAGTTAAAAAAAACAAAGAAGAAAAAAAACAAACATAAAAGTGCATTAGCTAAAGATTTTAGGCCAGGTGTATTGAACGTTTTGCGCCAAAAAAAAAAAAAAGTACATCAACCATCATTTCGGTCAGAATGCTTAGTACAGATATATATATTTATATATATACACAGTTCATTTCCATCTCATGACTTTAAATGGATAAGTCCAGTAGATGAACTTTGTAGAAACATGTTTGTCGTATTAACTCAGACGTGCCATAAAGATACTGACACACCAGTAAAAGAAACCCTTAACTTATTCGGTCAATGCTGCATCCTTTGGCATTCAGCCATTGCAGGAGACAACAGTGGAACTGTTAGTTAATGTCTATGGACCCTGAGGAGGAAGTGTGCAGTGGCTTTATCGGTTCAATCTCAGCTTAATTGAATTCTTGATAACCGGGATAGGATTTGCAGGGAGGGCAGGGATGTCAGAGAGGTCTGTACTAGTTGATCGCTGAAAGACAAAAAAAACACAAGTTACAAAATGAATCAAAGTGCTCTCTAGGAAACAGACTCCTTGCATGATGTCAGAGACTAATCAAACACAAGAAAAGATCAATAACTAAACAAAACCTATTGTGAGCTTGCAAAAGATGTTTAGAAGTTAAATCCAATATTTATATTAAATTCTATAACTGAGTAGAAGGAAGCCCGATGAGCCACCTGCATGTGAAGCATAGTCCCCTTTTAAGCGATTGTTTTAATTACAATGTGTAGCTTGCCCTGTTGGCACTCAATGGGTTATGTTAACATACTGTCACAAGGATGGATGCTGTAAGAAAACAAGCCTCTGCCATCCTATGTATGCTAATCCTGACTATTCAAACCATCTGCTCCATTAACCAACCAATGTTGTTCCTGTTGGATTCAATTAAATACAGCCAACTGACAAAGACAAAATACTGCTCGTGGACAGTAGGGAACATTATTAGATATGCACAAAAAATTACCAATGTAGGCTAAATGATCAATTAGCTTTATTAATTAGAATTTGCAGAGGGGTGATGGCGCTTTGAAATTTAAAATGCCCTGCAGAGATCTGTTGCAATAACTGTTACAAAAATATTACAAAAATGCACAAAATAGCGGTGGTATTTTCCTGTAAATGTGGTTGATACATGTTTTGAAGGGGAAGAAAGAAAGGACTCCTATTTACGTGTGCAGAGTAAACCTACAAATGCTTCTATATTCTGCAACGCTCATGAAGGTAGGAAAAAAACATTAAGTGCACCACAAAGCTGTAAAGCAAAGTAGGTCCGACAATTTTTGTACTTTAGAAAATAATTACAAATAATTAACTGTTTATGTACATTAATTTACTAAATTTCGGGGTTTTTTTTAGAATAGATTAAATACCAATGCCCAGTTAACAAGCCTGATTGCATTCCCTTGTTGTAATGCATGAAACAGTGGATAATACATGACTGCCATCTAGTGGGAAAACCTACATTAACTAATGTGCAATTGCGAATGTTCTCATTTTTTATAGAAATTGAAGAAAGTAGCACCTGCACAGTTTTATTGTATGGCAATCCAAAATGCCAAAGTCTAGCGAAAATGCCAAGAAGCGGATATCTAAAATGGCATTAAGAGTGGTACTGATTCACAGGGAATACTTAATCGTTTCATTAAACAATGGTTTATGGTGCTATGGTTCTTTAAGGTGCAAGGACGCTAACCCACCTATTTGCTTCTGTTCACAAGAACATAAAGCTTACTAATATTGAAAAGTATTTTGCTTCAGAGTATGATAAGAATTGAATAAAAATAAAAAAAATCCTCTAAAAGAGTAACTGGTATGTCTCAAAAGGACACAAAAGAAAATCATTACATACTGTAAAATAGTGCAGATGCACACCAAGTGGGAAGGGAGACTACTAAAAATCTTAAGTTAAAAACAGACTCATGCTTGTAGACATACGAGAAGATTGTAATCATACCTGAGAAGAAGGTAGTACACCAGGGATAGGAGATGTAGATTTCGTCTCAACTTCTACATCCTGCAAAGCAGAAATACCAACAGTAAAAATACACTCATTACTGGAGTACATGATATACACTGTGTGTATACAAGGAGCTATGTGAAATTAAATCTGGTGAGGATACAGAGTTCAAAATAGCCATGTTGGAAATGCACCATTCATCTAGTGATGTCTTTAATGCCTAAACTCTACTGTCCATTCTGTACAACTCTGTTTAGCCAGTAACCCCAAGTCTTTCATAGGATTCTAATTATATAGAAAATGCAGTCCGACTGCTTCGTGGATGAAATAACAAAAATAATAGTGTTCTAGAGATGTCAACATACACCAATAAGACATATTTGTTTTGTTTGGATGGCTTGATATATAAATTTGAACAATATGTTTAGCCTGACAAAACCAGGAAGGGGTCTTGTATAATTTTAAAAAAACAACTGCCATGGTAATCAATGGAATGTTCCAACTGAAATCCACTAGTTTCTCAATGTACACACAACAGATGGTCACTGAAGTGAACACTTTATATAGCTAACCCATAATTTAAGAAGTAACTTTAAAGATGTTCGCCATGGGTACAGTCAGCTAGTGTCAAACACTGAACAACAAGATTAGCCTATTTGAATCAAAGTTACCACACCTTTACTCCTTCGGTTTCAGATTTGTTTGCTTCATCCATCTCCATGGCAGCACTATCATTTTCATCCTGCATAAAAACACATGTACAGTTAGCAGATATGTAAAAATCACAAGTTAGTTTAAGCGGCTCCATCTAAAATTCCTTGACATAAATCTTTAAGTGATGTAAAAGACTACTTATCATCCAGACTATAGTAAGTATATCTGTAAATTGATACCCCAAAAATTTCCCCCTGGTGGTGTATCATCCTGGAAATGTATCAAAATTATAAAGATTTAGTACAGTTTTTGAATTCGAACAATTAAAGTACCTCTTCAGTTTTTATCTTTTTAGGGCTGTCCTCTTTAATGGGGGATGATTTCCGTTTTACACCAGCAACAGGACTCTGCATCTTTGGGGAGACACGTCCAGCCAGTTTTGGGGATTGGTTCACCGAACGATTGGTAGAATTAACACGAGGCATCACATTCTTTGGTGTTGAAGAATTTGGGTGTATGGCAGGTTCAGGAAAATTGTCATTTATACCACCTAAAAAGAAAATACCAACCATTATATAATTAAGTTAACCAGAATGCCCCTAGACAGGTTTTACCTCAATAATATGCAGAAACAAATTTTATCTGGTACAATGGCAGCCTTGCTGCATGTTAGCCACAAATTCCCACAATATCTTGCTAGATGTGGATTATAACTTCAAGGCTGGAAACCATTGTTGTACAAGCTATATGAATTACACAAATTAAGTATGAGTGTGAACTAACCAACACACACTAACTGCCGTTGGCGATCTCAATCACGCACAGTTTAAAAGCAGAAACAGGCTTACCTCCTGAATTCTCTGAGGAACTGTTTTGTGGCACAAGGATTTCTGCAACTGGTGTGCTGGTCCCTGAAGAGGTCACAGGTGCTGCTGGGCTGTTTCTGCTGAATAAGTAGATAGAATGAACATTACTAGCTTGTCAAGGAGATAAATGCACTTGAATTCCCACTACTAAAAAGCCATGTATCGTCAAAAGCCCTGCTTCCCCTCTCTTTGGGCCAGAGTTAATCACAGTCCCCAATGGGGAAGAACCCGCAACCCAAGAAATCTATAACTGAGCTTGTCAGTAGTTGTTTAATGATTGCCATATTCTGCTAGAGCAGCTGACACTGTACTGATGATGTTTTTAACCTCAAAAAATAAATCTTGTGCTACAGTACACAGTAATCAGTACACAGCCTTTACGCTGTTATACCCACCACATCTACTCAAACACCCCAATAAATGAGGATTTACTTAGTACTTAAAAAGTATCTTACCCTTGGGATAAATTAGATGAATTCAATGGACTGGTCTTGCTTGTGTTGGTGGGAGAAGGCACAGACATGCTGTTGTCACTGTCCAATGATAAATCAAGGCTATCGCCCATAGAAACCAGCTTCACGTTTTCTGTGGAATGCTTAAATGAAAGAAAAAAGAAAAACTAATTAAAAAAACAAACATACACACTATAAAAAATGACAAAAACAAAGTAATATGCTAAATAGCCTCCCACCCATCGAAACTATAGATTATATTTATACATTTTAAAGTATATATATAAAAAAATAATAATTTTAAGCATAGACTCTACGAGGGATGTTACCTTCTTTTTGCGTGGAAGCACGTGGTTAGGAAGAAGCTGGTGGAGTTGCTTTCTTTTGACATGCATTGCAGCGATTTTCATATCCACTTCAAACATCTTGCTGTTTATTGCCTGTCTATAAACTGAGGATTCACAAAAGGGGAGGGATGGGAAAAAAAGTACTTTACACAAATGTTCTCTGTATTGGACCAACATAAAAAAACATTATCTAAATCAGTTTCCCAGGCAATAACCAAAACTACTTACCGGTGTCAGTGAAAGCCTGAATGTCATAAGTGAGATCAACACTCAAGTTTTCAGAGTTTTCCATCTTTTTAAACACTAGTCCAATGACCCACATTGTTCGAAATTCTTCCCTGCACAAAAAAAGAGATTTGCAAAAGGTTAGACAACTGTCATGAAAAGAGAACAAATATCTGCTATTACATCCTAAATGGACAGATGGACAAGTCTTGCCCTCTACAAGCTAATTTACATTAGTTTTACTTACAATACTACCGCAATTCTACAGAATGATTTGTTAAATAAGTGACAGCTAATCTGGGTAACTAATCTTTATCTGTGGTTAGTGGCCTGTGGGCATGATGAGTATTTCACATGTGGAATAAAAGGTATAGGTAATCTAGAATCTATAGATATAGATTTAGAACATTAAATAACTTGTACATAAAGGAGAACAAAAAGTAATCTTAAATGCTGAGTATATTAACACTTATATTTTAGTTATGTTTCACTAGCTCCTTTTCACAGACCTCTTCAGTGGACAGCATAAATTGGGGGATCATGAAGTCATTGTTAAATGATTACATTTGACAAAAGTGTAATGGTCTTTTAACTAAGTGCCTCATTAAACAGGATTTATCACAGTAATTTGCAATGTCTACAATAAGGTGTACAATCCCATAAGGGAGCAGCATTAGTCAATGGATACTGTTCTAAACTTTGTAAAGTGGAAAACTGAAGGTCATCAGAAATCACAAGACAAGAGGCTATGCTTTAATGAATCAATAATGGAATAGAGCAACGACAATTAAGCTAAGGGGGGGGGGGTGCACATTCAGGCCCAGTAGATTTAACCAGACAGCAATAAAGGTGAGAACGGTGCCTTACTTCTCTGGATTTTCACCCGGTGCTGGGAAGGACTGAGGGTTAACGTGAGCAAGTGTTATAAACTCATTCTTTTCCAAACTTCCAACGAGAATACGAATTTTGGATTCCACTAAACCAACCCTGCAAAAAAAATTCAAATAATCAGTAAATACATACAAAGCACGAAATATGGTAAAGATACATTTGAATCAGATTTTGCTTTGAGTACCTATCTCAATGGCCATGTCGAAGCCAGAATTGTAAAATGTTTTGTTTTAGTTCTTGTTTACATAAATATATATGCTTACCATTCAAGACGCTGTTTTTCTGTCGGAGCACTTGCAAGAAGCAGAATATAATGCCTTTAAAAAGAAAAACAATCAATTGTTATTTCGGATTTTACATTTGTTCTGCCGCAAAACATTACACAGTTTGTAATATACATACTTGTATTTCTGAAAGAAGTTGGGAGCTTCAAAAAGTTTCGACCAGTCTGCTTTACCCAGCAAGATTTCATCTGTTATTGCCAGACCTGAAAAATGTAAAAGCAAAAAAAAATTTAAAAAAATGTATGTGAGGGGAAATAAGGCAATCCATCCAATATTAGAAAAAGAGAGCATACAGCCAACTGCAAGATGGAAACATGCTAAAGAGCTTTTCATTAATTTGTCTTGACACATTACAATCATTACATTGGTACACTGCAATCTAGAGGTCAAAAGTAATTAATTGCCAATCACTGACATGCATGCACACCACGTGTAGCAATACAGTAATGCTATTTACAGGCCTGGAAACAGGTATATCTTACACATGATTTACATTTGCTGCAATTTTGCCATCAAATGTGTACTATAACTCACTGTATTTATTAAACTAACAAAAATCATTTGTGGCTGACCTGTACTAATATAAAATCAGCATATATACCTTGTTTGAACTCCTCGACCATAACCATTCGTGTAGACACAGACACATTGTAGGTAGAGTTCTGCTGAGGGTAGGCTGGCGTAATTATAGGCATCAAGTGGTACCTATCACTGGGATTCACCTGTGTTAAGACACACTCTGTTAGATATTACATGCACACAGTCTTCATCAGTTAAAAAAAAATATATATATATGGTTATGAGATGATTGTTTCTTGTTCCATATAGATCTTATGCGCATACAGACTTAAAAATACACAGATACAAATATATGAATTTATAATAAGGTTAATGTGGCCATTACTATGGACTTCTATAGTTAATGTGGTTATAGTAAAGCTGTTATTGATCACATTTACTTACCCGTGGGTCCCACACTGGCAAATTGAGATTGCATTCCTCGGGCTGTTTCAGCAGCACAGGGTTGGGCCACTCCCTACAAAGAAAAAAAAACCAAAAAACATTGACTTAGACAACAAATTTATAAAAGAACAGGGCTTGTCAATAAAAAAAATGATGCAGCTGTCAGTATAAGAGGAACCTGTGTTTCTCAAAATGTCTTACTAAAAGACATTTTACTACAATGCTAAAAACACAATTAAAACTTTATTCGCTGCTTGTCACTGTAAAATGTTGACAGTGAACATTGAATGGTATTCATGGCTATAGTCAAACAATATAAATGAAAATCTTATTCCATTCGTTGCCTGCAGTGTAAATAAAACGTAATGATCGTAGAATGAACTAGGTTCTAGGTTTCAAATGATAGATAATCTTTCAAACTCACCATTTGGAAAATACCAAGAAAAACTTATGCACAAGTGTTGAAGCAATTGCATTGGGATATAGCTGACAGGTTCGGGCTACCAACATCGCCCATGACACACCACCAAGAAATCCTAGGATGTTTGAGTATATGTTATGGCCTACACAGGAGTAGAGAGACAATGTTTAATAACAATTCCAAATCACCAGCCACCGACATTTTCATTAAAAAAAACTTTATTTTTTTTTTTTTTAAACTTCAGCTGACTTACGTTTGGCCCACAGTTTAATTGCTCTCAAAGTTAACCTAAAGTTGTCTATGTTTGGTACTAAATGAAGAATTTCATCTGTCACCCGACAACCTGAAGATGGAAAAAAAAACATTAAAGTAAAATATTTGGCACAATACAATTAAATATATTAATAAAAACGCATATGTCCAATGTCCAGTTGCCCAAATATCCCTCCCCCTCCCCCATACACTAGTATGAGAACAAGTTACAAGTGCTTTTAGAGATTTTTTTATCCTCCAGCTACAATTTGTATTAATCTATCGAAAGCCATAGAAAAAGAAGAAAAAAAAGATATGTATTATTCTGTGAATAAATTTAACTAGCACAAGCAGCCTTCAGAAGAGATTGTGCTAAATGTAGAGTGGAAACACATGCAAAGGAAAAAAAGCTGCCCCTATACATTTAGGAATGGCAATATTTACCATTAAGACTTCTAATGCATCTTATATCCAGGTTTTTGAGAAGACTATCATCACGCAAGTCTAGGTCCTCTGGAATAGTCTGTAGTGCAAGTCTGGCAAAGAGAATATCAATCTGAAACACAGATAAGAAGGCAATCATAAATATAGATTGTTAAAGTCCACTAGAAAAATATTACAATACAGAATCATAATTTGAGAACTAATCAATATCATTAGACCAACTAGCCAATGTTAAGTAATTCAGATTGTTATTGCAGTGATAAGAGTACAGTGTGTTGGGAATTTATTTAATTTTTTCTGGAATCAAAAGGAAGTCGGATTTGAACAAAATCATTAAATGTAAAATGTTTGTGTGAACAGATGTAAAAGTTTACGTATCAGTAAAGATCATTTAATACCAATCAAATGATAATCTGTACAGAAGTCACTTTGAATGCTCCTTTAAAGTATAACATGGTAGCACACCATCCCATTATTCAGTCTGGTTATCTTATTTCAAGTAAAATTCAGAACAATTGTACAAAGGAAAAAAATAGATTACCTCAATTCCATCAAAGCACAGCTTGATCACAGGTACGAAAGCATCCTCTACAGCCTGGGGGAAAAAAGTGAGATGTATAAGAAACATTACCAACACTTTTGGATATTTTCTTGGAATTCAACCCATTCTTTAAAAAAGCTCACAAAATTAAGTACATTGGAACACACAGATGAACAAAGAACTACTTATAGCACTACTCAAATAGTAGCACATAAAACCAGTTATGGATTACCCTGGATGTTAACATTATAATTCTGGTTAGCAAACACTAGGTTTAACCCCTTAAAGATACATGACATGTGTGACATGTCATGATTTCCTTTTATTCCAGAAGTTTGGTCCTTAAGGGGTTAAGCCAACTGAATTTACCATATAAAAGAAATGGATACAAGTAATTGAAAGGGTTGCTTAAGAAATGGGGCTTTATATGATCAAAAAAGGAGCATTTACCGGTAAGTAGAGAATTCTGTTAATAGGTGTCAAAAGCTTAATGTGTTATTTCCATAAAGGCAAACACATGCATTCTACTTAAGACACATAAGGAAAAGTGACAAACATACCCGCAAGTCTTTCACTTCTTCCTGTTGTTTCAGTTTCTCGTAAAACGATGAAAAAAAGTCGCTTCGATCTACGTGCCTTGGCGCAACACACAGAGCATCAATATCAGCACCTAAACAGAAAAACTTTAGATTTAATTATGCCAATGTAAAAAGAGCAAAGTAACCCATTCCCAAATTCATGTACAAGTTAAAAAAGTTGTTTCCCTTTTTACTGCACTGTCGGAATTTTAAAGAACATAGGGGCTGTGGTTATTAGTCATCTGTAATTTTACTGTTCACAGATGGGAAATTTAATTTAATATGATTGTATTACAAAAAAATCAATTTTAATGCAGCACTGATTTTTAAATGGACCCAAATTTGTTACAGTATTACAATGAACACTGCCTACACTGACAGAAAAACAAACCTCACTTTAGCATCTCTGGTCACAACGATACTATACTGGGAAAAGATTGAGACTAAGGGATCAGAAACTAACAAATGTATAAGCTGAACTTTTCCTGTAGATACAGATGTTCCTGTAGAACATATCTTACCTTTTGTATGAACACCGAGTCGGTAAGATCCAAAAGTAAAAATCTTTCCTCCAACATTCTCAATGACAGACTGCGGCAGATTCTAGAGATGAAAACCCGATAACATTAGTATGTGAGTGAACAAGAGATTAATCATCCAAGTGTAATGAAGAACGTTAGATAACACAAACACAATGATTCTAAGTGTTGTATTTTCTTAACACTTTCTGCTAGCACCAGAAAAGGTAATCTTTTGGTGATGAAGCTGAGCTTTGACTATGGCAACTGTCATGGAGGTTACATGAGCTAACAGTTTTTATAGTAACATTGAATTATGCCAGAGGTAGAGAGTACGTTTTTAACTTACCTTCAATTCACTTGTTTCTCGTATCCATTCTTTCACCAAGTTGTTTAGTTTTCCCAAAATTAAAATTCTGTGAAGAACAAAAGAAAACTAGTTAACAGTGATCTAAATACAAGGGATCATTTTTATTTTACAGCTTGTATGGATACGTAAGGAGGCTTGCATTTGCTTGCACACTTGATTACATCATGTTTTGCCTGTTTATGAAACTACTGGTAATTAGTTAGAATTCTGCAATGGTTTATCATGTTACTCTTAATATATTTCCTTAAGATTTATTTCTGGTAAGATTACATCTTGAATATGCTGTGCAATTTTTGGCACCTGTTTTAACCCCTTAAGGACACAACTTCTGGAATAAAAAAAGGGAATCATGACGGAATATTTCCGTCATGTGTCTTTAAGGGTTAAATAGTTTTTTAAATAACGGTGCCTCAGAAGAGAGAAATATACACATACAAATATATTTGGGGCAACAAACTATTGTCTGGAAATCTATTCATAAACATAGAATTGGAAAGTACTTTAAATTGTGTGTTTTGCTTTCTTTTGGATCAACAGCAAAAACAGGAGTCAGAAAAGCTGAACTTGATGTATGCAATGTCTCTTTTCAGCCTATGTATCCCCAAGTACTGAAACCATACTAACCTACGCTGCAACTCTTCCTCCTCTTCAAAGACACCAAAAGGCTTCAATGTTTCAATGAGTTTCTGTGTGAGCGTACAGTCCGTTTCCTTGGGTGACGCTAAACTAATTGGTGAGGTAATGCCAAAATTCTTCTGAGGTGGCTGGGATCCTTGAGTTACAATTGGACTAAAGAGAAAGGAGAAGAAGAAAAAATGTTTATACAAAACTACACAAAAGCAAGCATGTACAATCATGGAAACGGGAAATTCCTGTGCAAGTAGTTGTTGATGCCCATTAGATATATCAAACTATCATACATATAGGCATTTTGTGTTTAATGTTATAATAATGGTACCACAAATAAAATGTAATAGAATACACCACTGACTTGGCTGTACAGTTTTTAAGTACATCAACAGTGGAGTTTTTGCTAACCTTAGCACTGCATATGTTTATAAACTACACTTCCCAAGATTATGAGCTTATTTATAGCAAAGGACTTCTGGTTCACAATCAAATGCAGTGTTATAATAAGTCTATTTACCCTTCATACACCCCTAAAATGTTTAAAAGGCAAAATGTACTTTTTCTGATTGAAGCATATTTTAGTGAAGCTGAAAACAACAGCAGGTATTAAAAATATAGATGCATATTCCACCAATGTGGATGCATCCTATAAACTGTAAAATGGTTTTTAGATAACATTACAATAGATTGCATTTTGGTGCTGCATTTTAAATCCATTAAGTTAGAAATTTGAATGAGAACAAACTGAATTCAATGCTGTAAAGTGTAAACAATTGAAATTTTAATTTACTAAGCACTCTCTATAGGGATACATTGTATGTTAAAGCATGTCTTTGATATGCATTTAAGAGTCCATAACGAATTAGATTATTTTGCAGATTTTAGCATATGAATAGTTATCAGCACATACACAAAAATAACTTTTAAAGTGATCAACTGCCAATTTTCTTAATTTGAAAAATGTAATTTATATCCACAGGAAACATGTGAATGTAGGAAACATTTGGGAAATTTTAGCACATATTAATAGATTTACAGGGTTATTGACTGGTCAAAATAACTGAACTGGAAACAATCTCTAAATCAACTATGCTTCATGTTTGCTACTTTGACCTTAAATATATTAAAAAATACATATAAAAAGGTGTGGACATCATTGTGCAAAAACTCAGTAATTTAAAGCACAAATAATGTATTCCACATAAATGGCTAATGTGAATATGTAGATTCACATATTTTCTACCACAAAGTAAAAGTACATATTTAGAAACATGATACACAAATGTATTGCTGATCCCAAAAGAATCACAATAAAATGCCTAAGCCCTAAGAGATACTTTTTAGTATAGCCTACAACATAGATCCACTTTGGAACATGTTCAGCATTAAATTTAGACATATTTGAGATATGAAATATCTTGCTGTAAAATGCTAAAAGGCTGCATTTAAAGTACATTTTCTTTTTTCTCTATGATAAATATTTAAGCCATAAGTGGTGCTAAATCTCATAAACAGGTCAAGTTTATCAATATAAAAAGTAGTATTCAGCACAATCATCAGATTGAGATATTTTAGGTTTTTATCAAGTTCCATGCAAAAGGGTGCATGTACTAAATGAAAATCTTGGGTAATATAAGTGTAGAAAACACATCTGATACAAAAAGAAAGCCATATCATAGCACTTTATGATATAATTACTATCTACACGTGTACCTTGCTATTACCAGCAATATTACAACACATCATGACTTTACCAACCCTGTAACAAAAAAGTGCATACTGAAGGGCAAGCTATTTTAAAGCAGCTCTGAAATATGCATTTAAAAAAAAAAAAGTAAGCATAAAAGAAAAGTTGACATCCAGTCATTCCACTTACTTTCCACCACCATTGTCCTGAGACTGGCGGCTTGTGTCTGAACTCCATCTTCTTGAAGCTCTAGAATTAAACTTATTGCTCTTGCGGTACATCCTGAGAAAAAGTTATACAATCCAAAACTCTTGAAAGAGAGAAATTTTCAGATGTGTGCCAACTGGAACCTCTGAATAATGTTAAAGTGCTCTCCTATGTGCATTTAAATACAGGTAAAATAGGAGGAGCTACAGTATAGGTGACAGTGGCTCCACCCATTTTACAATATGCATATCCAATGGGAGGCACCAGATAATCTTACCTGTGATTCGAAAATCCAAAACAATGCCTTCCAATAGAGACAAAGTAGGAGGGGGAAAAGGGAGGAGTTGAAGAAGCTATTGTTCCTGACTGTAAACTCAATTAAGACAGGAGGAGCTAATAATGCAAATAGTGAAGACATGAGGTTAGCCCACATGATGTAATGTTTTAAAAAAAAAAAAAAAAATAGAGGTAGGTTTATTGTATTTAAGTCCTGTCTGCACATATACAAATGCAAGTGGGTAACCCCATATAACTGAATATAGCTTGAAAAACTAAAAATGGTGTGTGGGGGTTTCTATCTATTGCAATAAAGTTCATTTAAAAAAAAAAATGAAGTCCTCCTATTGCAATACAGAGGATGTGTTAGCTGTTGCATGTACCCTTCACCTGTTAATACCCACAAAGATGATGTGCTGGGGCCCCTGATACCCCTCACTTATTAACACTAACTCTTGTGATCTTTTAGGGGCCCCTGGTACATCATTCCTGTTAATACCAATACAGAAAATGTGTTAGGGTCCCGTGGTACCCTAATCCTGTTTGCACAGTACAGATGATGTGTTAGGGTACCCTGGTAGCCAATTCGTGTTAATACCAGCACATAAGATGAGTTACTGGGCCCTGGTAGCCCATTTCTCATTATACAAATACAGATGATGTGTTAGGGGTCACTGGCACTTCATTCCTGTTTATACCAATATAGATGATGTGTTACAGCCCCTAGTATCCCATTCCTGTTTATGCCAATACAGATGATGTGTTACAGCCCCTAGTATCCCATTCCTGTTTATGCCAATACAGATGTGTTACGGGCCCCTGCTAGCCCTTTTCTATTTATACCAATAAAGATGATGTGGTAAGGGCCCTCGTGGGCAAATTATAATACCATACAGATGATGTGTTAGGGGCCCCTGGAACTTCATTCCTGTTTATACCAATACAGATAATGTGTTAGGGGCCCCTGGAACCTCATTCCTGTTTATACCAAAACAGATGATGTGTTAGGGGCCCCTGGAACTTCATTCCTGTTTATACCAATACAGATGATGTGTTAGGGGCCCCTGGAACCTCATTCCTGTTTATACCAATACAGATGATGTGTTAGGGGCCCATGGAACTTAATTCCTGTTTATACCAATAGAGATGATGTGTTAGGGGCCCTGGTACCCCATTCCTATTAATTCCAATGCAGATGACGTGTTAGGGGCCCAGGTACCCCATTCCTATTAATACCAATACAGATGATGGTATTAATAGGAATGGGGTACCTGGGCCCATAACACATCATCTGTATTGGTATTAATAGGAATGGGGTACCTGGGCCCATAACACAATACAGATGATGTGTTATGGGCCCAGGTACCCCACTCCTGTTTGAACAATACACAAGCCCTGCCCTCCCTATCCACCAGGAGGGCTATCAGGAAGCCAGTGACAATACCTGATCACGTGATCCCGAGTTGCACCATAACACACCGAGCCTGTGGGGCCCAGAGAAAGAAGTGATTCCCGGGGCTGATCGCTGGGTCAGTGCCTCCCCCACCCCCATGGTTGCCGTGCGCTGACCGGCTGTCCCGTTACACACACACACACCGTTCACCGTTTAGGCCCCGCACTGGCCCGCAGGGCCGCCATACTCACAGCGGCATTGTGTCCGTCAAGGGCGGCAGCGGCCCGAGGGACTGGAGGCGCACGGCCGCCCCCTCCTGATCTCTCCTCGGACAGCACGCACGGTGTGAGCCGCCCCGGCCGGCCGGAACCTGGTTTCCTAAGCGCTTCCCGTCAGTCCGAACATGGCGCCCGTCGCTGCCAGAGCAACCGCTGGAGCCCGCCCGCGCGCGCAACGCAACGTCCCTGCGTCACCGGGGAGGCGGCATTGGGGGGGGGTCGCGCGCCGCGCTGAGGATCCCGGGAAATGGAGTCTGCGCTGGCTCAGAGTGTATTGCAGCGTTCCACCAGCAGAGGGATGTGCTGCATGTTGATATTATTTACTATAGTGAATTTTAAGGGTTTTTGGTTTCTGTTTTTTGTTTTTTAATGTTAAAATATTACCAAACTGGAAAAAAAAAAAAATCTTAGTTTGACTACTGTGACCTTACATTTGAAATTCACTTTTAAATTCTCTGTTTAGTAAATAACACTGCTGAATGTTACATTGCACACGGCTGCACGTTTCATGTGCTGCTCATCATAGACCTGCAGAAAGCAGATTGTTGCAACCCTACCTATAACATGCACCTGTTACAAGCATCTTACATTTAGTCAGTGAACAGGCAGTCAAACCTGCAACATACACGTGTTTTTATTATTTTTTTATAAAACGCCAACAAATTCCATAGCTCAGTACAATGGGTGTACTAACAACAAACAAGTATTTGTAACCAGACGAGTTAAACGCACAGAAACTGGAGGGTATGGGGGCTCCGCTCAATAACCTTGCATGCGAGAGATAGTGAGGTTAAAATATTTTTTTTTTCCGCTGAGGGCGTTTTTTTTAGTGTTCTAAGCATCTTAAATTTAGTCAGTGAACCGAAATCTGACCTCAAACATAATGTGAGTAATAAACCAGTCTCTTAGGCCTAATAGCAAGTAAGGACCTCTCTTGTATGTCAGTAGTAGGCATATTTTTATTATCTGCCATAAAGCCTACAGTATGCCTACAGGTAATAAACTGGCAAACAACCTACCCAGAAAGCCTCCATGCTTTTTGAGCTACCAGTGTGGTATCTGTTCATATGTGTTCTACATGTCAGGTTATACACACAAGGGGCACCCTGGTAAACAGTGGCTTCCAATGCCAGGGCGAGGCCAATCATGAGGCACATACATAACCCTTGCATGGCCACTAATTTAATTCACCCTCACCCTCCTAAATTATCACCCACATACGATCTCAGCAAATATATCCCACACACCACCAAAATGGTCTGTCATACACTAAATCTGGATAGTATAATTTGCCCACAATATCTAATTTGGAAATAAAAAGTCTCCAACTCATCTGTTGAAACCGATATTTTATCCATGGCGTTGAAATTTACTGAGTAACCTTATGTACCAATTGCTCACACAACATCCATGTAGCACCAGTTATCAATACTGCCCTATATGTCATTTACAGGGCACAAGTTATCCACATTAACCCATATATCATTTAAACAACACTATTTATCCACAATGTAAAGCTATTAATTTCATATTAAGCTATAATTCTGTTGAAAGATATCACAAGCACGCCAGAACATACAATAAAATGTGTAAAGTCTAAATGTGCTCTTCCTAAATATATATTTTCATTATATTATTATGTTGTTATTATTAGCCATCCAGAAACCATAATTGACCAACACACACAATACTGAACTGCACAGAAACTAAATTAACAGTTTTGTTAATTTGATTTTTACATTTTTTTTGTTGTTGTGGGTTTCTTATTGTGAGATACTTATCCATTCCACTCTTTATGTAAATGGACACAAGTATTGTGTTTGTATTCAGCACCTTAATTACCAAAGAGAGCTTAAACTGACTTATTCTTTAGCAAGCAATGTAAAAGGGAGCAGCTGATTGAATTCTAATTTTTAGAATATTAAATAGCCATAGGTGTTTTAGCACAAAGAAACCAAGAATCAGAAAGTAAAGTGCCAGGAGTTGTATAAAAATGAGAGGAGAAGGAAAAACAATTGGCTAAATTAAATGCAAATGTGAGAACAGATGTAGAACAAATCAACTCTAATTCACTTTCAGAGTGGGAAGTTCTGGAAATTCAAAGTGAATTGCAAATTCTCTCATTTTATTGAATTTTATTCAATAAAAAATTCATTTTATTGAATTTAGTGAATTGCAGTGTCTCTCTCATTTTATTTTTAAATAGGCATGTCCCACTTCCCCACTCTTGTCTGCCCATATTTAATAAATGTATTTATTTTTGTAAATTTTTATTCTATGTTGATATTAATCTATGAAAATACACTTAGAATGCATATATATGCTGTAGGTTAAAAATTCATTTATATATGATTCCAATTGTAATTGATATATTTTTATATTTTTATATAATTATATTACTTTATTCATTATATATTGGAGGACCTGCCTGACAACCCAGGCAGAAATACCAGATAATTTAATTTGCAAGCCCTACATTTGACCATGTAACTTTCCAAAACCCATAAAACCTGTACATGGGGGATACTGTTGTACTCGTGAGACATCGCTGAACAGAAATATGAGTGTTTTAGAGCAGTAAACATAAATTGACAATGATATCATGAGTGAAAGTGTAGGTTTTGTGTGAAAAATGGAAAAAAACTAATATGGACCCAAACTTTTCCCAGGAATTAGTGGCTAACTGGCTACTGAAAAAGACTGGTCATACCCCATTTTTAATACTCCGGATTGTCTAGTTTTGCCAAAGGTATGCCATGATGATGTAATTTTCATTCTTTCTCTGACATACGATATCAAAGGAAAGGTAGACCCAGCAAACCAATCTGGCCAATTTCAATGTGTAAAAACTGAATTTGGCAAGCCCTATATTTGACCCTATAACTTTCCAAAACCCTGTAGTACTCGTGAGAAAAACACAAATATGAGTGTTTTCGAGCAGTAAAACGTATAATGACAATGATATCATCAGTGAAAGTGTTGTTTTGTGTGAAACATGGAAAACAAAACAAATATGAACACTAACTTTGGCAAGAATTTGTGGCTAAGTGGCTACTAAACATGACTGGACATATCCCATTATAAATATTTTGGGATGTCTATTTTTGCAAATGGTATGCCATGATGTGGGTAATTTTCATTCTTGGGCTACTATATAGGCCCCACAAACGTGTGAAAAAAATGGACAAGCTCTTTATTTGACCCTGTAACCTTCCAAAACACCATGAATTATGTACATGGGGGCATCATTGTACTCCTGGGACATCACAGCATACAAACGTGTATTTTATTGTAGTAAAAGCTAACAGTATTATGACATTCACAGTAAAATTTGCCATGCAGAAATTGTTTTTTCTTAATTTCTTACACTTATGTTTAGATTTATTCATATATTTCAATTATAAATATTTGATGATTAATGAAAGTCCTGTTTATCCTGAACAAAATTATATATTTATTAAGTATGGGTGCACTTAATATGAAATAGGTAAATTATGGTTGAACAGACATTTATAGCTCAAATTCTAGTTTTTGGGGTTTTTCTTTTGTCATCTGTCATTAAGGTGTTAACCTTTCAATTTCAACAATTCTCACTTTAGAGCAGGCGTCCCCAAACTCCAGCCCTCCAGTTGTTGCTGAACTACAACTCCCATGATTCTATGAATGAAATAGATAGGCTGAGAATCACAGGAGTTGTAGTTCAGCAACATCTGGAGTGCCGGAGTTTGGTGAAGCCTGCTTTAGAGAGTAACCCTGTCTGAATTCCTGACAACCCACACTTTAATAAGATTTATATGAGACAAACAAACACATGATGTACACTGGGAATATTCAGTAATAAAAATAATATGTAAACGAGGAAAAGGATGAACGTTTAAACATTAAAAGGAACTTATATCACTCGGACAGCACCAACCTTCCATATTTTATCCACATGACATGCACACAGTTGCAATAAACAGTACAGCAACAAACACAATATGATTATTTATTAATTATCCATTCCCTCTCTTGCTTTTAAAAACATTTTGTTAATTTGTTTTTGATTTTGTTGCATTTAAACACTTCTGGCCATGTGGTTACCTCATCTCCATATAAACAACATAGACTGGAGGTGATCTTAAAATTTTAATAGGATATATAATGGTGAAAATGTCGTCCATTGGGCTATGTAAATGTAGAGAGCTGAAAGTTTTCAGTGAATAGACATTGCCCTACTTGCATATTAATGTGTTTGTATACAATACCTACGTTTTCTATAGGCTTCTCAAAGTGACCTAACTTTCTCCACAAAGAAAATGTAAAAATTCATGTGGAAATTGAATGAAATCTGAATATTGAAATGGCCAGAAAAGAAAGTGCCTGGAGGTTATTAAAAACAAGAGGAGAATGAATAGTTAGTTAAAAATAAATGCAAATGAAAGAATCTAAGTAGAAACTGCAAGGAAAGATGGGGAAAAAAAAAACAGTAGAAAAATGTGTGCTTTAGCACCAATACTATCTCAATAATATTATTTATTTGAACTATGTAATTCAAACACATTTTATTCATCGAGCATCCATAACTGTGTGCATGGAGTTTGACTGGTGTGTTCATACACATCTTACTACAGGAATCAGTTGTACACACTTGTTCCCCATTATGGTACCTAACTTATGTGCATAACTGGAATAGCTCGCTATATGTATGAGGATGAAGAATATACTTTATGAAATGGAAAAATCAATCAAGGTATTGATTATTTCTTTGTGTATCTGCCCCTGGCCAAATCAATGAAACAATGTGTGCACGCTCCCTGAAGTAATTCACACCAGACACAGGTTCCAGGTTGTTGAATAACTTGAGGAATGTTTATTCAGAGGGGACGGCAGGTCCCTTTTAAAGCAAAATTACATCATAAGCATTGTCAGAGATAACATGGAATAATACATCAATTATTGGTTAGGTGTTAAGTGGTCATTCTAATGCTCTGCCTACTGGGGGTGATGTCACCAGGGCCATGAGGGTCTCCCACGGTTTCCCGGCGCCATCTTGCTACACGAGGTAGTTAGTCGGTGTTATAGGGAGGGGGAGGAAAGGAGGGGTTAGAAGCTTCTAGCAGCCATCTTGATTAAAACATGTGTACATAGCTTATATTGTATATAGTGAAATGAGTAAATAGACATTTTCATTAACTAGGAAATATGTGCAGACCTTATTTCCACAACACTTTATATCTGTC